CTTAGGCTACTTATATACCCCCCCCATGCCACATGTCTGCCAGAGAGAAAGCGGGACTCCAGCGGTGAGGGGGGGGGGTGTCGGTTCTCAGAATAAAGACCTCTTGTTTTATACTTCACATCTTTTGGAAGTGATCCTATCATTAGCCACCTAATCTCCCTCATTGAGCTCCTAGTGAACTTCGTATTACCTGGAAAACAAATCCTCTTCCGACTGCACAGAAAAGACTCCATAAATACAATAATATAATTGTCCGTTTTCAAATATTTTTGTTGGGAGTGACACATGTAGCATGCAAACCACCAGTGGACAGCTAAGTGAACTGCTAGAAAGTGGACATGCTTTCGTAACTATCCCCCAACTCAATCAAAGAACCATCCTAAGGCCCTTTCTAGTACTCACCTCGGGTAATGTAATAGCTACTCTCCTGACTTCCATGCTTTTAACTAACTTTACATGCTTTTGAACCTCTCAGAAACAAAATCATATAGTATATATTCTTTCAGCCCCAGCTTCTTTTGCTCAACACTGCATTTGCAACATTTGTTCAGGCTGCAGTATGTGGCAGTAGTTTGCAAATGCTCATTACAACATGGTTCGGATGATTGAAATACAACAATTTTATTATGTGCTTGGGTTATTTCTAGTTTTGAGTGATGGTGAACAGTGCTACATACAATGAACATATCATGCATATTTTTAGTGCGCATGCACACATTTCTGTGGCTGGTGTACCCATGATATGCCTGATTCACTGATTATCCTTATTTTCAGCTTTAGCAGATATTGTGAAACAATTTTCCAAAGCTCTGTTAATTTGCATGAGAATTCCACTTTCTCCACGCCCTTCCCATTCTGTACATAATGGATCCACTATGTCCACGGAATTACAAAGCACAGCATGGAATTTTTGGAATTTTCTCTCAGAACTAAGAAAAGGAAGAATTTAAGTTCAGAACCATGCAGATCTGCATTCTATCTAAATGCAATTCAAGAAGAAGAGAACATACAATTCTGCCAAAGAGGTTTGAGGAAATAAAGAAAGAGAAGGTTTTTTTTTTTTTTAAACTCTTTTTTTTACAACTCTAAGGAACATGGAAATGACCATAAACTCAAGAATTTAGACTTAAAGATTTTCAGGTCATTTATTATTTGATCTTTTTGGATCAATCTCTTACTATGTTTCTGGGAAAAATGGAAGCTCTGTAACAGTTGTAGTAGCTAGCTATTGGTGTACCTTGCTGAGTTTTATTCACAAAGAGTTCTTAAATTTTTAAGTTCTCTTAGCAGTATACCACATAACTTCAAGGTCTTCAGGGTACAGAATGGTCTCTTGCCTTTTGCTTGGGGAAAAATTATTTTAATGTGATTAAAATTTAATCCCTATTTCTGCAGCCTTTTCAAATTCATCTAACACCTAAACTTATTTGGTTACCCTGGTAGTTCAGACTCAGTTGCTTTAGTCTTGACCAAAATCCTCTTTTTTTTTTCTTTTCTAGTTAAAAGTACAGGAACCAATTAGTAAATGAAGAGTCTGTGTTTTCCTTTTGTATAGTGAGAACTGCTTCAAATAAGTTTCAGTTAAAAAAAAAATTAAAATCATTCTATGGAGTTATAATGGCAGACTTAAATAGTCATTCTTTGAAGTATTTGGTGGGGAAGGGGAGTAATTTTTATCTCTCAGTAAAAAGCAAGCAGAGAGTCACATTCAGAGCAACCAGAGGATTATAATCATCCACCTGAAAACCATACTTATAATTTCAAGAAAAAATCAAAAATCAAGTAAAGTCCAAACAAATAATTTTTAATGTGATATTTCAAGCTAAACCATATACTGTATGATGTAGATAATTTTAGCTTTAGTCTCAAATTATGTGGTCTAAGCCAAGAACTGAATAAAATGCCAAGCTGTAGCAGTTATCTTCATATTTTGAGAGTATCAGAGATTTGAGATTTCTTATATTTTTTCCAAAACTTTTACAGTGATAGTTATTACTGTATTATCCAACAACCAGTAAAGGTTATTTTTTTAAAACAAAACAACTCTAAACATTGTGCATAGATAAAAAAAATATATATGTGAAGTAATACTCCAAAAATTTAACTATCTTTGAGTTGTGTAATTTTTTGTTTTTGTTTTTCTCTCGTTTCTAGTTTTGAATGTATATGTGTGAATGCATAACTTTTACAGTAAGAAAAAGAACAGACATTATATTTCAAAATATGTATGTGGAAATAACCCCAGTTTGTGGCCTCCAATTGGGGCCAGAATTCTCTAGACACACTCACCCTGGACAACTAAATTCCACCCAGGTTTTGATCCTGGTTTTGCCATTCACTTACCTACTTTGTGAATTTGAATCAGTAACCCAACCTCTCTGAACTTCACTGTTCTCATCTGTAAAGTGGAACAACACCTATATTGCAGGTTTTTATAAGGATTGAATAAGATTATATGTGTAAAATACTACAGTAAAAACAGTATAAACATTGTATAAATAGCAGTTATTGATTAAAAGAACCTCATTCCTTTTTTGAAACTTATAGAGATCAAATTACTTCCATCTTCCCAATGAAATTGCTAGGATAGAATATGAACAACCCTTATTAACTTTAAAATAAATAGTGGAAGAAGGAGACTGTGAAGTAGTACATGATATTTGTAGCCAATTAAGAAAAAAATCTTTCTGATTTCAAATATCTTTGATCCTCAAATTTTCATGTGATATATGAGGATTAGCTCCTTAGTTTTTCATTATTTTTAATGCTGCATAAATGTAAAAATACAAATTATTTGATATGATCACTTAAACTTTAAATTTTTCTTTACAATAGTATATTTTATTTGTGTGCTTATCAATAGTGTATATGTTTTGTCTTTGTTTTTTAATGAATAAAAAGAAGATGAAAAATCTGGTCTCTGAGTAATAGGCTGAATCCCAAACTTAGAGCTTTTCTTTGTTGGTTTGCCATCTCTGCTTAGTGACAGGCAGACAAAAGAAGAAGAAGGAAGAAGAGGAGGAGGAGGAGGAGGAGAAAAAAAATGAAAGTAAGGAAAACATCAGCTTGTGTCTACTTAAACCATATCGGCCAACTCAAAGAACCGGTCCTGAGATTTAAGACCAAGATCAAACATTTTGAAGGTGAAATGCTTGTTTTGGGGGAATAAACTGTGGTCATAAGTACAACACATCTGAGTGACTTAAACAACAGTGAAATAGTCGGTTTGGTCTCATGCTCCTATTGTGGCCACTAAGGAAATCCTCCTTACATTTTTCTTTCACAAAAAATTTTTGTTTAAAGTGAAAGATTGAGGCACGGAATAGTCAGAAAACTGTACACAAAAAGTAGGGTGATGATGTCAGTGCTTTCCTTGTGCCATTGGCATATGATTTCATTTGAATTTTTTTATAGTTGTGAATATATTGAATTACCAGTGAGCACCACTGGAAATAAATTGTAGTACCTTCCCCATCCCTGAAATTTATTCTCAGAATTTTGTAGAAAAAACCTGATACAATCGGCCTATATTGTTCAATATACTATTTGTAAAACTCAAAATCTTGTGTGTGTGCGTGCATGTCTGTGTACTAACAACTAAGTAAAACCCTGTCCTATATAGTGTATGCTAGAAAGTGTGGTAGGAACAGAAGAGAGATGTATACTATTTGCCTTTGCAAAAAAGAAATTGAAGGATAAGGAATTCTACCCTCAAGTAATCTGACTTCACAAGAAGATTTTCAAATCCTAGTGCAAATGTTCTCTGTCAAAAAATAGTAAAACTGTAATAATCAAACTTATAAACATGCAAGATTTTTTTCTGAGATATAGTAATCTTTCTGGGAAAGATTTCACACAGAAAGTATTCTTTCAAGTTTTTGTGTCGCTTCTGCCCAAGTTGAACAAAATAATTAAAAGTACCTCTTTATTTAGTCTAAACTAAAAAGTAGATTGTTTAGTTCATCTCTTTAGTTTCAGGCAAAATTTTATGTCTACTTAGGCCATCCTTACAAGGTCTGTTATGTGACCGTAGGTTCTGGAACCCAGAAGAACCATGTCTGTGGATTCTTTAAAATACTGGATTGCATATGTGAAGGTATGGACAGCTATTTTGAAGAGAACAAGAGACATTATGGCAGCCATTGTTAATTTTCCTATTGTCTGGTTTTGAAGGCCTGTAATGCTTTCATTCTTTTGTTTTGAACAGTTTTATAATATCTTATTTTGTTTGAATTCATTATGTGTGACGATATGGCTAACTATTTCAAAGGAAACAAGAGACATTATAGTGGCCATTGTTGATTTCCTTTAGTCTTGTTTTGAAATCCTGTGTTGATTGCATTGTTTTGTTTGGATTGGCTTTGTTCTGCTCTGTTTTGTTTTGTTTTATTCTCCATAAACTACAATAAAATAAAATCCTGGATTGGGCTAGGTATGGTGGTGCATGCTTGTAATATCTGTACTCTGGGAGGTTGAGGCAGGAGGATCACAAGTTTAAGCCCCTTCTAGGCAATTCAAGCCCCACCTAGGCAACTCAGTGATTTAGTGAGATCCTGTTTCAAAATTTTAAAAGGTACAAAAGAATGAGAATGCAGCTCACTGAGAATACTACAGGTTCAATCCTTACTACAATAAAACAAACAAATAAAAATCTGGGCCATAGTTTCCTATTGATTCTACCCTTAGAATTTAGAAACACACCTAGAATGGTTTAACTTACGGCTATGTGAAAGCAATACTGAAGAATTGAAAATATAACCATTTATCATTTGATATACTTATGTTACAATTAAAGTCTCTATTGTGGTGATATAAATGCCTACAAGATTATAAAATGAAATGATAATGCTGATATTGCTGTATTTTTAAAATTACTTTACCTTAAAAATATAAAACAAAAGGAAAACTTTCATGCTCAATTTCATCTTTTTATAATTAATGATAATTGATATGCAGGAAAACAATCTATTCCAAGTGTTCTTCATCATTGAGGATTATAGTTTTTTTCTTTTTCTGCAGTTTTTATTAAGTGAACATTGTGACACACCATAATTTACACATTGGCCCTACATATACATAGGCATTTCTTTGTTTTCAGTATATATTATTACTCAGGAGGCCTATTAACGTACACAATCCTTTCATTATTTCAAGTTTGACTCTGTATGATGCAAAAATCATGAACTCAGGATCGATTGATTGAGGCATAACCCACATCCTAGAACTCATTTGTTAAATGAATGTGGGGAGTCATCTTTACAGCTCAGCTATGAAATGAAAAAGATACTACTTTTCTCAATGGATGTGTTGCAAGAATCAAATGAAGCATATAAAATAAAGTACTTCAGCCTGTGCTGGCACATGTAAAGCACAATAAAAACTAGTGAATATTTATTCTTCATCATCATCATCACAATGTGTCTTTAAGTGAATATATAATACCTACCTCCTTTGTCTTGTCTAAGATTATAAAGAAGTTTAAAATTACTAAGCATATGTACCAAATATTTCAAATCATGAGATTATGAGCATGTTCCTTTTTACCTCAGGTTAAGAATCACGTTCTCCTTTCACTGTTTTCCTTCGTGGTTTACAAGCATTGATATCTGTCTTACTATCAGTAGCAATAGAGGTTTACTTACTCCCCGACAGGAAGGAAAATTTTTGCTTCTAGCTCTAAATCTCTCTTTTGGCAATAACAATTTTCACTTGAAACACTAAGGTTAGGTTAAAGGGAAAAAACAGCCACCTCCCTTTCCCTTGTCCAAGCTGTGACTTTAAAATGCTTATTTTTGTTGTTGTCTCTGTCAGCATAATCCAAAGCTCCTAGAATAACGTTGACATTTTCTGAGTACATTTGCACTAGACGGCGTGTTACTTGGTGAAGGTAGATCACGGTCCTTCAGTTCCACACTGATTCTTCAAAGGACTCAGGGTCACTTCAGAAGTGATCTCTGCCAGGCTTTGGAAGAAATGCACAGCCAGCAAGGCAAATTCCTCTTAAAACAGTCCAAACTGTTTGCCTCCATGTGTGAATTCTGCAAAGACAAAAATGTCCTCGTTACATAAGAGTGCATTCAAATCATCTGTTTCTCATCTCCTACTTCTTCCCCAAATACCATCCTTTCCCAAACTGAGGCTCAAACAACAACATTTCCTATGTACCCTCCATCCTAAATCCTTCACAGGTTAATCCCACAGAAAGCTGCAACAGGTGGTTTCCCTGGGAGATAGAGCACAATCACCAGCTAGGTCCAAAGAAAAAGCAAAATGATGTCTCAGGCTCTCTTCCAAATTCCAAACTGGAGCAAAATGGCTTACAATAGCTTGAATGACAAGATGCATGGAAATTGCTTATTTCTTAGCTCTCAGGCGATCCACTGGATCCCAGGCAGGAATCAGGTATTTCCCAGCCGAAGTGAACTGAACAAAGAAGTTGCTCCATAGTCTCTAGTCAGCAGGATTCCAGGAAACCTTAGGCAGACACCGAAGGAGGGAAAAGAAGTGCACAACTGAAAGTTAAGATGTTTTTAACGCTATGAGTAGAACCTCATCACCCACATATCATCCTCTCCCGGAAATGCCATTTCCTCTTCCAGGAAACAAAGGTGTGGAGAACTTCTAAGCAGCAGCCATGTGCCTAAAACGGTAAGAGACAATCTGTCAGAAAACAGAAATACTTGGTAGTCTGTGAAAGGAGATTAGTCTGCTGGAGCCAAAGAGTTTAAAGGTTCCCACTCCACCCAACCTGTGCCAAAACAAGATTTGGAGTTTTAGTTTTAAATGAAATGCTAAGGTAAAAATAGTATCCTTTTAAAACATATTATGAATATTGTTTTTAAGACTTCTATCCTTCAGATTAATGGGTTTTCAGCTGTAGGACTAGATGGTCATAGGATAGTAAAGTAGCATGGGTCTTCAGAGAGCAGATGATCAAAAATGTGAGAAGCTGAAAACTATGGGCAAGATTGTAAGAATGGGGGTATTGTTCTACAGCACTTGAGAGGACTGCTTGAGACTGCTTGGAATTGAATCTTGGTTCTAGCACTTTGTTAATTGTGAGGCCTTGGACAAGCTACATACATGATCTTTCCAAACTGCATTATTTTCATTTGTTAAAAGACATGGGGGATGGGGATTTAGCTCAGCGGCATAACGCCTGCCTTGCAAGCAGGCAGTCGTGAGTTCGATCCCTGGTACTGATAAAAATGAAAAAGACAGAAAAAAAAAAAAAAAAGAGATGATGATGATAATGATATCTACCTTATAAGACTTATAAATATTAAATGTGTAGTGCACCAACAGTGTTCATCACAATGCTTGCTATATAAGCATTTAGTATATGGTCAGCACTATCATCTCTTGAAACTTTAAAGCTACTGGCTATTCAATAAATTAATAGCATTCACTGTATTTTTTAAAATCACACTTCACAAACATCTTATGAAGAGAAATTCCAGAACTGCTTCAATAATTGTCAAAAATGATGGAATAAGTATAGCCAAAGCAAAAGGAAATATTTTGAAGGGATTTAATGGATATGTGTCTCTTATGGCAATATTATCTAAATAGTCACCATAGTTTTAAATAGCCCTTGCATGATTTCCTTAAGTCCCTATACTTCCTTCTCAAAGTGTCAGTGGAAATACCAGAAATGGAGAATAAAGAGTTTACTGTCTCTTGGGCACAGAAGCAATGGTCAGCTTGCCATCTCTTCTCAACACAGTAGGCTCCAGTGAAAGATCTTTGGCACAGGAATCAGGGAGAAGACCTACATGCTGAGGATGACAGTGGCAGCGATGGTCATGGCATGACCTCGGCCAGGTTATAGTGATGTCGTGGGGATCCAGCACTTTACACCATTGGGCTAGATTCTTTCAAGAAGTGCAGCCTATGTATTATAGCATCCTCACCTATGCCATTGAGGTGTTGACAAATGGGAGTTTTAATGGAGTATATATCTTTATCCTTAGAAAGTGTGCATGATGGCTTTTTGAGATTCATATAAACGAAGGAATCAAAAATTTCTGAGATTTTTCATTTGAAAATTAAATTTGGAACTCACAGAACTGGGAGGTCCTCTAAAATGACACTGCATAGCTCGAGGAGCTGAAGCCTGCTAATCCAAGCTTTGGCTCTTTTGTACATTTTAAATCTCTTTTTAAAAAGAAGGAAGAAAAAAGGGTGGAAAGGATTACTGCTTAATTTCTCAGACTAATCTGGTTTTAGTATTTATAGAAACAACAGCTTCAACCAAATATACTTTAATTGTATCATCATTGAAAGAAAATCACTTTGTACAGTATTGATAATTAATTTTCAAACCTCGATGAAAAATTAATTCTGTGAAAAATAGGAAAAACCACCCCAACTATCCTCATTATAGCCATCACTAACTGGTATTACCAGCAAGGCATTAGGAAGTTCGAAAATGACAAACGCACCACCACAACAAAATGGTGCAGCTTTAAGGACTGTAAAGTTTAAAACACTTTAACTTTGAAAAATGTGTATAAAATAACGAAGAGTAAATTACAGAAAAGCAAAATAGTAAGTCAGAGTCTAGAAACCACTATCCTCAGGGCAGAACCGTGCCCAAATTTCTGGGGTAGGCATTTTAAAGAACAATATTTCTAAGTCCGTTGGAGTGTAAAATCGACTAAGCAGACCCAGTTTTGTTTCCACCCAGTGACCTGACCCCTTCCCCCTGGAAGGTCGCCTTCTGCATTCAGGTCGCTGACAGGCGACGACACGTGGTCTCTCCCCCTTTCCTGACTCGGAATGTGGCTGAGGCGGAGGCGCCTCGGCTCTGCAGCCCGAAGCATCGCCCCGCTCCGGGGGTGTCCCGTCCCCGTCTGCTGCACGCCGCTGGTCCAGGTCGCAGCCGGGCGGCGAGAGGCCAGAGGGGCGTGAGGATGGAGGCGGGGGGCGGCTCGAGCTGAGGCCGGGCGCAGCCGCGGGCGCCGCAGAGTGCTCGGCAGAGCCCGCGTCGGCGAGCTGGGCTCGGGGCGCCTCCCCGCCGGCCGCGCCGGGAGGGTGACGAGCGCCCCCTGGCCGAGTCGCCCGGGGCGCCCCCGCCGCGCCGGCCCTCGCCAGTCCGTGCCACCAAACCGCTGCGGCGCCGCGCTCGGACCGCCACCGCGCCACCGGGTACGTCCCCTGCGCCTCGCGCCTGGCCGGGAGGGAGCGGGCTGCGGGGACCTGCGCGGGAGGGCCGCCCGGTGCCCCTCGGAGCGGCTCCCAGAAGGGGCGAGGGCTGCCGTGGGTGAGAACGAAATCGAAAAAGAGCAGGAGCCAGAGCAAACTTTGGGGCTGCCCCTGGGGTTCTCGCTCGCTGGCAGGGACCTTGACTGGCGAGGCTGTGCCCCCCATCCTTCGTTTCCTTCTCACCTGCACTGATGGAGCAGGAGGGAAGGGACGAGGGGAAAGTTCGTCTGTCTGGGGGAAAGTGTTCTCATTCTTGTAAGGAAAGGTGTTTTCTGGAGCTGGCAACCTGTCCACAGAAGACACTCGGTTTTCTGGGGATTTGCCTGTGCAGGACACAGGGGTACCAATGCTCCCTTTTCTCCACAAACCGAATTTCTTTGAAAGGATTTGAAATATAGTGAGGTTAGATTCTGATAGGTTAAAAAAAAAAGTCTGGGTATTCAGTTCTGTAACCTTCAGTGAAATTGTTTCCAGGTTGGGGAACGTATGTCAAATAAAATCTCTTTATTTGATTGGATTTTTAATAGCCACAATTGTCAACCTGGAAGTAACTTTAAGGTTTGGGCATCCCCCACAGGGGCGGGGGGCAGGCAGGGCGGTCTTAGGCTGCCTGAGCAGGGAGGTTCTGGCGTTTCTGCAAGGAGAGTGCCACAGAGCTGCCTTGTCCTCTGACTTGTCCTGCCACTGTGTGGGCTGGACACGATGCTAATAAAAGATTATTCAGTAATGGCTAAAGCGGCAGCGCGTGAGGTGGAAAGAACAAGCACTGTGCTCTGCCAGGCAGAGGGGAAAACAGCCATCTAGACCCAAGACCCAAGGCCTTCCAGCCGCAGGTGCCCTTTGAGAGTTTGTGCCAAACCTGTGGAACTGTTTTATCAATCACCTACAAGATGTGAGCTCCGCTTCCTTGTCCTTAACATTTGACAGTAAATTTTAAAGCATCAGGATGCTTTAGGCTCTGGTGAAAAGAGTAAGAAATCTGGGGGTTTCCACGCAGTTGATCGTGGCTTTGCTTCCCCAGAAGCCATGGCCCTTTCCTGGCTAGGCTGTCTCATAGGCAAGATCTACTCATGAGGTCCTGGGGCTCTCACCCAACTCCATACCCCAACCTTGGCAAGCATCATCTCCGTGCTTTTCTCTAACTTGTCTCTGGTAACTTGTAAAATGGCAGGCTTACTGCAGGCACATTATCTCCTTTTAAAATGCTGTGTCTAGTGGGAAGAAGGGTGACATTTACTAATTTGGCTGCAAATTACTTTTGAAGTTTATGCACAGCTGTTTAAAATCCCTCAGAGATGAGTGCCATTGTTTGATGCAGGTGTCTGCCACAGAAAGCTCTCATCAGTCCCTTTCTTTGACTGATTTGAATGTGCATATATTTGAAGACAAGGCATAGGAAGAGCTTCTGAAACCTGCAAAACTCTTGCATGTCAGCAATTCAGTCTAAGGTTTTTGTTTTCTCCTCTCTTATCAGTGCGCATGCAACCTTTTGGTATCACCTGCTTCTGTTTCAAGCGTCCTTTGATTGTCTTTGACACATTTATAAACTTCCAAGGAAGAGTCTTGTTACCTTCCGCTTTGTCTTGTGCATTTCCACTACTGTCCTGGCTCAGGATGGCAAGTGACACTGGGAAAAGTTCTTCACCTGTGCTCCTATGCCAGAGACTCCTCATGAATCTGGGTGCCACTACACAGCGCAACTCGAGGAACTTTGATTTCTCTTGTGGTGTCACTTCTCTTTCAGGGAATACAGGGGTGTTGTTCATTTATTCACACTTGGGCTCTTAGGATCTTAATGATGTTTTCAGCATTAGCATCTATTTGTCTTGTTCACAACAGACACTAGAGGTCCTGAAATAGCCCATTCATTTTCGGTCATTTCTATAAAGATGAAGGTTCTTCATTTCATCCCTACACTGTAGAAAAGACTGGATTCTTCCGTCTACTAAATTCCCTGTGCACCAGGCCTAGGTTGTTCTTTCAGGAGTGCGAGTTTAGGGGACAAGCTTATGACTTCAGACCCCCTGGAATAGATCACTGCAGATAAATATCTCCTTCTAGTGCACTGTTTAATAAAAGTACATTTGCCTCTCTTTAAAATAGGAATTAGAGGCAGTACTTCCTGTTTTTGACATATTGAATGTTTTTGAGTTATTGATTTTGTTGTTTGCCTATGAGAATATTTCTAATATGGTAACCAATGTGATAGTTTGCTTTTAAGTTTTAAGTTTGTATTTTACCTCAGATGATTACTGTTTTATAGAGTTCAATTTTTAAATTCTAAAATAATTTTCCCTGAATTATTTAAACTAATAAACCATTAAATGGTGAAAAATCCCAATGCATAATATGAGAAATATATATCTGACCAAAATGAAACATGCAATTGTAAGCAGCGGTATTAGTGTTATGGTGATAAATATCGCTTTAAACTCATTATTTTGTTCCTGTTCAATATTTTTAAAGCTTTAAACATTTCATCTGTGAGCAATATGCATTCAACTTAGTTTTTCCATAACTATTCTAGCTGTTGAGGCAGCAATTGGGAAAATTCATAGAAAAACATGATGTTGAGTCAAAAAAGTGATTGAAAGGTGTTTTTCTGTAACACGCCAAACATGGGAAGTCAAATACACATACACAGTCAAATCTGATTGCTCCATAATCCAAACATACCTTAGGGTAAATGAGAATCAGAGGTTTTAGAAAATTAGAAGTTACCCACATCTAGAATCATAAATTTATGCTTAAGGATTAAATTAGCAGAAATTTAAAGCTCGTCACATCCTTCTACTGGTTACTTTTAATTGACATTAACTTTTGAATAAAGCTAATAATATTAATGGTAGTAACAATTGGAATAAACAAAAGCAATGAAGTATGGCTTTATTACTCATTACTTTAGATTTAAGTGCTAGGTATACTCAGAATTTTACTTACATTGACAAATGTTACTGCCATAGTTAATCTTCTTAAAATCTTTATAAGCTAAATGTTATCATTTTTCACATGTTGAAACCGAGACTCAAGAGAATTGAGTCACTATCCCAGGTTTTACAGCTTGTAAGTGGAGGAGTATGGTTTGTCATGCCATCAAGTGCTTGATATAAACTATACATGACGTAAAATTACCGCTTTAATCGTTTTAAATGTGAAGTTCAGGGGCATTAAGTTATTTGCTTTATGGTGCAGCCATCATTCT